GGGGGGTAATGATGAGAAAAGATGGATGGATTGATGGATAAATAATTTGTAACTGAGTGTATAACAATAATATGTCCATCTGTCTTTGTGTTGCTGTCTTTCTCGCTGTCTTTCTGTCTGCATTTGTTCTTTTCTCGTTCTGATTATTGTTTCCGTCTTTTTTTCTTCGTTTTTCGCTTATTTATCTTGTATGTTACACTGATGAGTGCGTGCAACAGTCCTTTAAAATCAATAAAAATTAACTTGACTCTTAAATCTCCAAATTTGTCTCACTCCATCTCTGTCTCCAAAACGCCCCTGCGACCGAACAGGGCAAACTGTTTACTTATTTGTATTGCTTTTTCTCTCCCCACCCCCCTCCCCCAACTTTCAAAAGCTCCACAAAACAGGACGCAGCAGTCATTCTGACGGTTGTCCCTAGAGTATTTCTTTTCTGGTTTGTGTGCAGAGCGGAGTTCTATACAAACACCTTACAAGAAGAAGAAACTACCAAGAAAACCCAACTCGACGACAACCTTAAACAGTTCTACTCAATTAATAAATATTAAAAGATTATCAAGATTTAGTGTGATAACGGGTAGCACAAAGGGTTGTGATGATTTTAAAAATACTAGACCAGGGAAAATTAAAGCGCATTCAAAGCAACCATTATACAACGACAACAACAAAAATTTGACTTAAAAAGGCGACAAGGTATGGATATGCTGTTTCAAGTACGGTTCAAGAAAAAACACACCAAACAGTGCTGCCCCACCCACCCTTTCTTTTCTCATATTCCTGATGGCTATGGTGTAATGGTTATGTTCCAGGACCTTGCACGCAGTTCCTTGTCCATGTTGGGATGTTGTATCTCTGATACATGTAGTGGGAAATCTGTACTCCACTCTGGCTTGGTCGAGGCAGACGATCTCCTAAGTTATCCAGATTGTGTTGATTTTTTATTTTAATACTTTAGTTGGCGGAGGGGGTAAATAAGTAGATGGGGTACTCACATGCCAGAGCTACACCCCTTATAATTATAAAACAGAACCCTGAAAACATTTTGTGCAATTATATACAATATATCCGTATTGTGCCTCTTCCATACTTTATGTATCCGTCTTGCCTTTTCCATCTCCTAAATGACTGTTATTGCACCGATAAGCTTCTTTGTTCATACTTACTTACTTGTCTTACTTGTCCACTGTGTTGGGGTCACTGCAGTCGGAACATGATAAAACGACAACTTGTTCATAAATATTAGATAATGAATTTGGATTCTTGCGACACACCTGCTTCTAAGTGTTTCCTTCTTTGTGTTACCAAAGATTTAAAAAGTAAATTTTAATTTCGATTCGTGCCAAACCAAGACCAAAAAACGCCATACTTTGCTGCGAAGACAAGCAAGAGCCACCGGTATTATTTGGTTCCTGCATTAAAAGAGGTAGGCTTATATCGGGAGGAAAATATGGTCCATTTTACTAAAAATGCTCTACCTAATGAAAGTAGGTTATGATGGCATTGATGGTGGTATCAATGCGCCTCACCGTAGATAAAACTCTCGTTTATAAACGTATTGAATGTTGCACTCTATCCTAAAAAAAAATATTGAATTTGGAACCAACGTATCAAAATAAATATTATTATCAAAATAGCCCGTGGGGAACTTTTTTCTTGCAAGATTCAGAAAATCCCATAATTTTTAAATTAAAAAACAACAACCAGGATTGCATCATGTAGAATCTAGTATTTTCTTATCACAAAGAGGACAGGCAACTGTTAGTTTTAACTTACTTGTTACAAACTTCTAAGTCAGAATTAGTAAATGTGAGCTGAGACGCAGCATCCCTTCGAAGTTTGTCGCCGTGCGGGATTAAACTTTGCGTACACAATTTTAAAAATAAGTATCGCAGCTAAACACTGACTTCATTTTCGGAATCAGCGTATCTAATGATTTATAGTGACTTGCGTAGAACCTGGTTTGATGCCAAATTTAAACGTTAGTAAATTTTATTTTTGGATTATCAGTTCGGAATTTGAAGTCTGTATCACTGCGTTGTGCATCTGACATTACAGCTGCTAGGCCTACACACTGCACAGTCACAGTACAGTGTGCATGTACCTTATGCCGACTTGATCGTAAGACTGTTATTCTTTTTAATGAGATGTAGTAAAGGTGAGAGATTCCGGTTATTGTTGTTTTGTTTGTTTTTTTTCTTTTTTGTTTTGCTGGTTTATTTTTCTCGGTAACCGCAGATTCACGAATATTGAAAGCTAGGAATCGTAGGAATCGAGCCCAAACCGAAATAACTTCAGTAAAGATGCTGACGTGATTTCTTCGTGTGGTTCTATGATTTCTTACGGTGGTTCCGACCCCTAGTCAGTATCATCATTAAATCTGGCGAGCAGTTGTTTGCCTGACCCCTAGGATTACTTCCGGCGAGTAACGATTAGTCTGATACCTTTTACTACTTCCTGTGAGTTCGAGCTCTGTGTGAAGTCCGGAAACTAACATTGACCTTCACCGAGAAATGAGAGCCTATTTATAGAGCCTCGTTGACAGACGCTCGATTTTAAGATTTTGAATAGAAAGAAGTGGGATGCAAAAATAACAGATGAATGAGGAAAAAAATGAAAGCGACAAAAACGTTTCATGGAGTAGCGCATACCAAAGATCTTACATATCAAGATTGTTCACTCCGCCAAAAATGTGTCCGCGGAAGTCCGCGCCTTGATGATTCAGAGGACGCTGCAGTCTTTGTTTTGAAGGTCTCTTTCGTTTCTCCCGCAGAAGAATAGGAATAGCACAGTTTGTTAGCTTCACTTTTACTGTTTCTCCGCACAAGCACTTTTTCAAAGAGGGCGCAACCGAATCTTAATTGGTTCAAATAGAGGAGTGACCTATCTTGTTATACATGATCTTTGTGTGTAAATATGATCTATATAATCTTTGACAATGATTTTATTTCCACGATTACTCTCATTTTTTAAAGTCTTCTTGTGAGTGCAAAACATAGATTCAAGATTCAGGATAATGTCGATTTCTGAACGTTGCAAGGCACATTTTTTAAATAAAAAAATACAATCTTCAAAAAACAACAGCAAATAAATATAAACATAAAGTAACCGGGAACGGTTAGTTTACATAAAAAGGGATCAGTTCTTTTACTCAGAAGCATTAATCGGTGGATCGATTCTTGGCCCACGAATTAAGATGGAGCAGGGCTCTAGAGATCCCTAGAATGTCTGCGGATGAGAAAGTCCAGAAACTACAGTAACACGTTATTAAGAGAGTGCCTGCAAAGAGGTTTTACTATTTTCCAAACAGTTTAATCAAGGTGAAAGTAAAGACCTCATAATGTTACCCCTAAAAATCTCAGTGTGAGTGAACAAATTTCAATTTAAATGCCAGTCTTTTGCTCTAATAAGCCTCCTTTTTCACTTGAAAATGGAGACAAAATAATGTAACGTATCTGGTCTGTCTGTATTCGACAATGTAGGCGATTACACCTAGATAAACTGTGTCAATAAAATATGGTAAATCATTAGATCTAGTCGCTGTTCCCCGGTGGCAGTTCCTCGGTAACTACGACACCTGCATTTGCTGTTCCTTAGTGCAGCCATTCTATCGTATGTTTAGCTCATAGAAGAACTAGTTTGCTTCCGATCTTCTCTGAGTTGTGCACCGGATATGACGAATGTTTTACTCACTGCTATTTTGGAAATTTAATAGAAACTCACTTGATCGGCACAGAA